CCCAATCGGATCCAAGAGGCCCCCAAGAAGCTCCCAAGAGGGCCGACGAGGTTCCAAGAGATCTCCCAAGGTGGCCCCAAGAGGCACAACTCATTGTTTTACGATTGACGGGTTTAATTGTGTTCTGCATTTTTGGCATCCCGATGCTCCAAGACGGCCTAAGAGGCTTCCAATACCGCTCCCACATAGAGGAAGAGGCCTCCAAGAGGGCCTCAAGACGGCCCGCGAGGGCCCCACGACGGTGCTTGAGGCGCCCAAGACGGCCCGAGAGGGCCCCAAGAGCCCCAACAGAGGCCCAAGAAGGGGAACGCGACCCAACAGCAGAGCGGTCCCCCCACAAGGCCCACAGGAGGCCGCAAGAGGCCCCCGAGTGGTCCGACGAGAACCCCAAAAGCTTCTCGAGAGCCTGAAAGGCCCCTAGGAGACGTCCAAGAGGCTTTAAAATAGCCCAAGAGTGCCTTCGATGCGTCAAACTGGTTCCAGGAGGCCCCCGGGAGGCTTCTGGATTGCCTCAATCTGGCCGCAGGTGGCCTCAAGTCGGGCCTCCACGCAGCCAAGACGGCCAATGACGGCTTCAGATTGCAGAACCGATGCCCCCAAGGCAAGGAACCCTCAGGCGCCCCACAAAGAAGCACTCAAGAGGTGCCTCCAACAGCCAGTTGACGAAGCATGCGGAACACCCCAGAAGCTCCTCAGATACCGTCGCGCGCCTGTGCTTGATAGCATTGTCCAAGATCGTCCAGCGCCCCCCCCCGGCCTAGGCTAGAACCTGAGCGCGCGCGAAGCGCGCGCGATGGTTCAAGTATATATATATATATGTATTTATATATCTACACTTACACACATATATATAGGACTAACGACCTCTGTAGATATGTGCCAGTTTAGTTGCGTACATATGTGTACACATATCTAGCACCCTGCATATGTATCCACTGGCATTGAATGTGGTTGTATGCTCATGTATAGATATACATATATATATATGCGTACATGGTGTGTAACATATTTGTATACGTGCATGTGGATACGCATGTATTTTAATACATGCTTCACTATGTGTATCGACCCGTATATATTGCTATACATACCTCTCTCCATACATGCATACATCGATATGTGTATGTATCGAGCCTGCTAGCTATACGTCGATCGATCTAGCTATAGCTTTACATATACACAGACCTTGCGATATACCTACCAATGTGCATCTATATATACATACACACATATATATATATGTGCATGTATATGTTCATATATCGCTCTATGTATATATCAATATATATACACATATAGGTGTACACACATACCTGTATATAAACGTTTCTATGAATTGATGCGTCTATCGACGAACGCCTCGGGATCTGTTTTGGACTTGAGGCTCCAGGCCCGTTCACGACTCCTCAGGATTGAGACCTGAGGCTTAAGGCATCAGGGAATGACCTGAGCACACGCCCACTCCAGACACAGAGACACGGTGGCGAACAGCTACTACACATATATGTATGTGCACATGTATGCGTATATCTTCACATACATGTATATATATATATATATATATATATATATGCCCATCCATCTGTATCCATGCCTCTCTCTATATATGTGTGATGCATTGATATACATATGTATAGACAAATCCCCGTATGTATGTACGTATATATATAGATTGTCGATCTCTCCATCTATCGGTATCAACGAACGGCACGCTGGTGGGGAGATATAGCTGAGCTGAGGGACGCACGCGAACTCAATACATCCTCAGGAGGGTCTAGCTGAACAATAGTAAATGTACATTCTGACTGTACAAATGTAGTTGTATACATACATATCTATAGATGTATACTGATGTCTGTGTGTGCATGTGTGGCCATGCTGCCTCACGATATGTCCGGTGAGATTCCCGTGTTGAGAAAGGACCGCCCCCATCTGTGAGAACCGTGGCCCCGCCCTACAGTTCTTGTCACGCACTTCGGAGACGTGTCACGCGAGAGCCCCCTTTTGCAACGAAGCAGCCCTCCATTTACGGAGCCTGCCACACACGTTGACTCCCGTGGTTGGTTATCCGTCTTCCGTCCTTTGTAGATGTGGCAAGATGCTCAGGCCAGTGCGCGCGGCTCTAAGGCAAGAACCCCGTTCCGAGAAGGAACCGCCATTCTCGTGCATGCTGCCACCTTTGTAAGGCGAGTGTGCGCGGCGCACGACCTGGTCTCCATCGGTGTAATTTCTGCAGGTTTGTAAGACGAAGGTGTGCGGCGCGAAAGTTTGAGTTCTTTACCATCTCACACACACGCACACGCGCCGCCCGTGCTTGTAACTCTTGCAAGGTGTACGACGAATCTGTCCTGCTCTAGGGCGAGAATTCCATCTTCACAATTACCTGTGTTCACTCCTTGCAGTTCGCGCGACTTTCAAGCTGTAGGGTCACACGTAATCTCAAGGTCCGTCTTACCCACAAGTCTCGGGTGCGACAGGGACGAGTCAACTAGAAGGAATCGCATTCTGAATGAGGACATGCAGGATAAGAGCGAGCGGATGGGAGGAGGAGGAGGGGGAGGAGGAGGAGGAGGAGGAGGAGGAGGAGGAGGAGGAGGAGGAGGAGGAGGAGGAGGGAGGAGGAGGAGGAGGAGAAGGAGGCGGCGGCGGAGAAGGAAGAGGGGGGGGGGGGAGCTGGACCCTGGCGGCCGCGCGGTTGCTGGCGCGCACTGCGCGCCATAGAGCGGGGCCCTCTTCTTCCCCCTTCTCGTCCTCCTCCTCCCCCTCCTCCTCCTCCTCCTCCTCCTCATTCTCCTCTTCCTCGTCCTCCTCATTCTCCTTTTCCTCGTCATCCTCCTCATCCTCATCCTCCTTCTCCTCCTTCTCGTTCTTGTCCTCGTCCTTGTCGTCCTCCTCCGCCTCCAGTACCTACCACATCTATGCGGATCGTCGCATCGTTGCAAGTTTATGCTTATGCAAGTTTCTCTCCTGGGAAGGGAAGGATTGAGCTACGGAGCTTTGCCTGGCTGAGCTCATGACTGAGCGCCATAGACCTCCCGTGAAGCACCCCCGCAGGGTCAGTTTCGATCTGGTCGATCCGATCCAATACCGATCCCTGCTGGCTCTATCCGTTCGTATTCCGATATCCCGACGGTCCGATGATGCCCAATGATTGCGTGGCGTTGTTGTGTGTCTTGCGCAGATGATCCGATCCGATTCGATTCCGCCTCCGTGCCGAAGCAGCCCGATCCGACGCCAATTCCGCGCCGATCCGCTTTCCCGAGATCGACGCCGACTCATCCTACCCAAGCGCTCACGAGCGCCCCGAGTGCTCTGCTCGTCACATGATTCGGATGCAACTCCTGGGAGGTCAAATTCTGATTTTGGCCTGGTCCGAAATCCGGCTCAATCCCGCTGAATCCCACTGAATCCCGCTTAATCTGGCTTAATCCGAGGCCCACTCCGGCGTGACAGCCCCCCAATGTGGCTTCATCGTCTTTTCGTGGGCGGAAAAGGGGGGGGTGATGACTAGGGGGGGGGGTGGATATCATGGCGGGGGTCATGATATTTCCCCAGATCTCATGGCGCCTCTTCTTATTCCATTACGTCCCTGGCCCCCCCGCTGGGCCGCGCATATGCCGCCGGTCATGATGTCCACCCCCCCCCCTCTTGGACACCCCCCTCTTGGCCGTTCCCGATCTGTGGTCCTTCCGACGAAGACCTCACAGTAGTCGCCTCCCGAGCCTGAGCGTCCGGCCCAGCCTCGCCCTTCCTGGCCGCGAGCCTCGCTGGAGCCCGTCCTCGGCGGCCAGCCCAGGGGGGTTACCTAAAACGACGCGAAGATCGGGACAAAATCGGATCGGGATAACCCGAAATCTCTGAGAATCGGCGGGTTTGGAGGATGTATTGGGCGCCGCGGCCGCTCCAGAGCGTTCCGGAACGCTCTGAGAGCGCTCCGGAACGCTCTGGAGCGATTTATCCCGATCTTAGCTCTGTTTTATTACCAGCCTGGAACATATCCCTATCCCTATGCCGGGCACCTCCTCATCACGATGCCAATCTTAGGGATTCCCTTATTTCTTGAGGGCGAGTCCCCAAGATTGTTATCGCCTTTGGGCGTGTCAATCTTAGGGATAGGGATACGTTCGAGGCTGGTAAGGGGGGGAGGTGAGAGGGGGCGGCCTGCTCAGAGGGTGCGGAATTCCTCCCGCCTTGGAGCAGCTCGCTAAGCTTACGTCGTGCCTGTCCTCCATACAGGGGGAACATTCCAAGATAGTTCTCAAGAAATGGTAGGGAAACGATTATTTGAGTATTTTTGTTGGCCACTTTGGTATGTTTCAGCATTTTGATTTTTTGGCCCCAAATCCCCCTGTAGGGGGGACATGCCCGACCTGACTCTAAGCCTTCCTTCCCCGAAGGCGCAGAGGACCAGAAGGCCGGAGGGCTTCTGATAAACCCTGCCTCCTTCTGAGAAGGCCTCCTCCTCCTAACGCCCCCCCAGGCTCGCCGCTGAGCTTCTCAAGCTTTCGCCGCGCCTGCCCTGGTGGAAACACATCGGTTTGACCCAAAAGGGGGTCCAGCGACAAGAGGGTGGTGATGCAACAAATTTGGTGCAACAGATTGGTTCGGCTGCAATGCAATGGGGGCGTGCATTACATTCCGGGGCGCACATGCATTGCTGTTTTTTCACGTGCGGTGCGTTTGCTGCAACGCAATGCAACACGATTCTCCGGCGCAGCACGTTTGCAATCCGATTGGCCGATTGCCCCAAATCTGTTGCACCACCCCCTTTCAGCTGGACACCCTTCTGGGCCACCCACAGGGGGCCGCATGCGGACCCTACCCCTACCCCCCCCCCGATTTCTGAGGGGGAGGGTGGGGTTCGCTTCGCTCGGGAGCTCCCGAATGAGGTGAACCCCACCCTCCCCCTCAGAAATCGTGGGGGGGGTAGGGGTAGGGGTTCGCATGCGGCCCCCCATTCTGGGCCACCAAGCAAGCAGCTCGCCCGGCGGCGGCGCCAGGTCTGCCCCCAGTGCGGGCTCTGCGAGCTGCCGGTCTGCCTCGGCTTCGGGCGGGCCTGGGACGCCGGCCACGGTGGCTGCGAGACGTACAGCGCCACGGATCGGCACGAACGGAATGGGTACGGAAAGAGTGGGTACGAAGCCCAACAGCAGTTCCTGTTCATTTTGAGCAGGACTCGCTGTCTACGCCGCCCGGGCCTGTGTCCATTCGAGACAGAAGGCCGCCTTCCCAACAGCGGCCGCTGTCGGTTTGGGACAACATTTGTTGTTGGGCATTGTACCCATGTTTTCCGTACCCATTTCGGGCGTCCAAAGAGGATCGGCGGCGCGCGAGAGGGAGAAGCACCGAGCGCATTCCACTGCTCGCAGAGTGCCTACTCGCAAACGTCAGAACAGAAAACACGCGGCTGATTCGGTGTAATCTCTCGCAGGTCCCCCGCAGGGGGATCCAGGCCTTGTGCGAGTAGTGGCTTCGCGAGTAAGTGGGACGCGCCCGTCTAGGGAAGTGAGAAGGTACAGGTCTCCCAGACGGGATCCGAGTAGATGGGTTCGGAGGATCGCGCCGCATCGCCGATGCATCGCCGATGCGGCTCGATGCGGAGCCCGATTTTCTCCACGCCGACGTCGCCGACGCATCGCCGACGTCGCCGATGCATCGCCGGTGCATCGTCGATGCATCGCCGATGCATCGCTGATGTATCGCAGATGCGGCGCGATCCTCCGACCCCATCTACTCCGACCCCATCTAGGAGGCCTCTAGAATTGGCGGGTCTTCTCAGAAGGCTCGGAAGCCCCATGGCCTTCTGAGAGGTGTTCCAAGCCTTCCCCGAAAGCACAAAGAACCTCTCAGAAGGTCGCGGGGCTTCTGAGGAGCTCCGCCGCCTTCCGAGAAGGCCTTCCCCTTCTCAGTTCCACCCCTCGCTCAAAGCCAAAAGGACGGCATAGGCGGTAGCAACGCGGCGAGCTGCCACAGCCATATCTCTCTGGATGGTCTCTCTGCTGCCCAGGTGTGCTCGCAGTGCGGGGAGTGCCAGGACTCGGGGTGAGGAGCAACGCAAAGCAAAGCGTGATCCGCCACAGTCAAATCTAAGGCCACGAGAGCCCAGATGCCAAGGGCCCTGTCGAGGTAATCTCCTCGCGGATGCATTCCAAGGCGGCTGGGGGGGCGGGCGTGTACCTGGCTATCTGTACCTCCTCCTCCTCCTGTCATTCTTCCCCCAGCGGCCCCCACAGGGTCTTTTAAGGGACAAGAGGCTGCGGAGGTACTTCAGACCCGTTCGGCAAATAGCAAAGACATTTGCCCTCGATCCGCCCCCTGCTTGCAGATTGTGCCTACGTGCTACCGTAGTGCTCCACTCTGATGCACGGCTTTGAAAGACTACTGTGGAGACCCATGCCAAGAAGCACCCTGCTTGCCTCGAGGGTGCCCTGGATTTCTCATGTTTCGATGGCTTCGCTATGGAAAGCGTGACGCCTCCACACCAAAGCTCAGTGGACGTCCTGGGGTCTGAGGGTTGGGTTTCTTGTGGAAGGTCTCTTGTAGACTGGCTGGCCCCTGCTGTAACCGCCTCCTCCTCTCCCTACCTGCCACGTGCAACACACCGATGCCCGCGGAGGACGCGGCGACTGTCGAAGCCCCAGCGGGGCAGTGGTGGCTGTCGATCTCCGGCCCTTGCGCCGCCACGTCGGGCTCCTGCGTGGGCAGCCCGAATTATCCGGATCACTACCCCGTCTCCGACTACTGCGTCAGCTCGGAGGGCGGAGAGCGGCAGAAGTCAGATGAGGAAAAGGTGCCCATGCCTCTACCCTCCCATCGTTTTCCTTTCTGTTGGGCCTCCTCGGCCTCCGTCGTCGCCACCGCCGGTTTCGCCTGGAACTCTCGGTCAGAGCGCACCCCGGGAGAGGGCCGGGGAGTAGCGGTATCCGTACGTTTTGGCTTCGAGGAACCAAGAAGCCCGTAGCCATCGAGAAGAAACAACGACATCGTTTTGGCGTTTTGGTATCCGTACGTTTTGGCTTCCCCAAGAAGCCCATAGCAATCGAGGGAGAGACAGCGGCATGGAGCACATGTTTTATGGCGCTCCGCGCGGATCTCCTGGATCCGCGCGGGGACCCCCTGGCGGCGCCTCCTGGCGCGCTCCGCGCGCCCGGGAGGAAGTCCCGGCGCAGAACCGAGAAATCGGAACACCAAACTTAGTAGTAATAGTAGTAGTAGTAGTAGTAGTAGTAGTAGTAGTAGTAGTAGTAGTAGTAGTAGGAGTAGTAGTAGTAGTAGTAGTAGTAGTAGTAATAGTAGTAGTAGTAGTAGTAGTAGTAGTAGTAGTAGTAGTAGTAGTAGTAGCAGTAGCAGTAGCAGTAGTCGTCGTAGTCGTAGTAGTAGTCGTCGTCGTCGTCGTCGTCGTCGTCGTAGTAGTAGTAGTAGAGTAGTAGTAGTAGTAGTAGTAAGTAGTAGTAGTAGTAGCGTAGTAGGTAGTAGTAGTAGTAAGTAGTAGTAGTAGTA